CACCCAGCGGCTTCATATAAATGTTAAATAACATTGGGGACAGGATGGGGAACGGTTGCCTACCCCTGGTCTAAATAAATGCAAATTGTTATAATAGTTCCTTGGGTTTTGCTAGTTGTTACAGCCTTTGTGTCCACTTGTTCCATTCTTTTGGAGTGTCTGTCTGTAGCAGTTACTTGGCTCTACACTGGGGTTCTTTCAAAGGTCTTTAAAAACTTTTGCTAAGATGGACTTATGTTTAAAGTGCAAAATCTCTGTTACTCAATTGTTAAAAAATATTTTTTAGAGTTAGAGTGCAAAAGTGCCATTTCACTGATGCACTTATAGCACTGTAACTATTTTAAAAAATGAAAAATAAAAAAAGAGAAGGGAGTATCTTGGAATTAAAAAGACACCAACCCAAGGGTGGGAATAAAGGGTGGTGCTGGGAATTGGCAGAAAAGAATCCAGGAGAACAGAAATGTTGTTTGGATATGTTAAAAACCCTGATAATTATAGCAACAAATACTGCAACCTCCCAACACTTTTGCCCATCTGGAAGAGGCCTCAGAATTGATCTGTGCTATATCATTGCAGCAGTCTGAGGCCATTTTGTCATGAATCCATTTTATAAAATTCCTGAGATCCAGGCAATAATTACAAACTAAACTTTCCCTGAATTAAACATTTTATTATTTATTACAAGGTCTTGACTTGTAAGAAACACCTGAACTGCAATGAACTTCTTTGGCTTTGCCAAAAAAGAACAGCCAAAAAAAGCCAATAAAACCAGAAAATACCATCAGCATTAGCAAAACAAAGAAAATAATTGTGCCTCTTATAATGTCAAGTAGATATAAAACATTCCTCCCCATTAAAATAACTGAGTAAAGGAAAGCAACTCCAAGAACTGCAATGATGTGAATCACCATATATAATTTGATGAAAAAAAATCTTCCTGTTACATAGTTTTTAGAAATAATTTTGGGGAAGTAAGTACATGAACATCTTGTCTTAACCATTTCCTTTTATCATTCCAAGAGAAATTATTCCACAAACCATGTTTCCTCATTTTTTTCCTGGAAAAATAGCCCAGGGGGTCGGGTGGGGTGGGGTGAAACCAGGAAAAAAACAACCCTCAAATGTTCCTGTTCTTTTTCCTCCCAGGCCTTGGCACTCCTGTCTCAAGGTACCATCAAGGAAGAACATTATAATCAAGAAGAGTCACTGCTGCCAGTCAGCACTGACAGTACTTGGCAAAATGGAGCCACAGCCTGACTTGCTATATGGCAACTTCCCATCTACTCTCTAAGCCATCTCCAGTTAAAGCAGGTGTGGGCAACATGCAATGGACATACACCCTGACCATTTGTGCAGTGGTGTGGTGGTGGTTCTTGTTGTGTGTCTTCAAGTTGTTTCTGATTCTAAGACGAACCTGTCACAGAGTTTTCTTGGCAAGATTTGTTCAGAGGGAGTTTGCCTTTGTTTTCCTCTGAGGTTGAGAGAGTGTGACTTGCCCAAGGTTTCCATGGCTGAGCAGGGATTTGAACCCTGGTCTCCAGTTGTCGTCTAATGCTTAAACCACTATGCCACGCTGGCTCTCTGGTGGTAGTGAACTAATCAAAAACTAAAACTGCTCTTGCCGGAGACCTTCTGAAGTAAAACAAGATGCAGCTCCCCACCTACTCCATTTTGTCCATTAAAAGGGGTTTCATGAAACAAAAATTAACCATTCTGGTTTTAGGAGTATGTGTGAGAGAGGGTATAGAGGCAGTGTGTGTAGTGGTTTGAGTGTTGGACTAGGACTTTGGAAGACCAGGGTACAAATCTCCACTCAGCCACAGAAACCAACTTAGGCAAGTCATACTTATCCTAAGAGATCCAATAACATCCAAACAATGATACCTTAATTGGACCAAATGAAATACACAATTACATGTTGCAAGCTTTCGAAGCCACACTGGCTTCTTCATCAGGCACAGGAGAAAAAAAAATGAAGATGTAAGTCATAGGCCTGCATTCTATTGTTTCTGGTCTTGGTTTTAGATGGTAGGGAGGGCAATTTTCAGGCAGAATAGCACCTTCTCCTTTGGCCATGTGGTCACTGATAAAGGGAATTTAATGTCCATTTGCAATTCAAAGAAGATGCTTTCTTTGGAATCCAGCATGTCTCCTTCCTGCAGGCTTCTTTGTAGGTAGAGAACACTGAATTTCTGAAAAAGCCTTCATGTTTTGCATCAGGAAAACTTGGGGGTGTAGGGGTAAAGGTAAAGCATGTCAATCTAGTCCAAATATTAGAAAAAATGCTTTACCTTTGTTGGAGACAGAAGCCTCAAATACCAAAGTCCCAGTGTACTGACTCTCTCTTTAGGATTCCCCTGCAGTGGCTAAAATGCTAAGATATTCTAAGAGGAGAGCAATGGCAAACCACCTCTGAACAAATCTCACTGAGAAAAACCCATGACAGAATCATAGAGTTGGAAGAGACCACAAGGGCCATCCAGTCCAACCTCCTGCAATGCAGGAACTTACATCAAATCATCCCTGACAGATGGCCATCCAGCCTCTGTTTAAAAGCTCTAAAGAAGGAGACTCCACCACCCTCCGAGGGAGCATGTTCCACTGTTGAACAGCTGTTACTGTCAAGAAGTTCCTCCTAATGCTTAGGTGGAATCTCTTTTCCTGTAGCTTGCATCTATTGTTCCAGGTCCTATTTTCTGGAGCTGATTGCCTTAGGGCCACTTATGACATCATTGTAAGTCAGAAATGACTTGAAGACACATATAAAAATAAGTGCACATGGGCAGAAAGTGCAGCCTGTAGTGAATCCCAGCAGAGAAAATTAGCCCTTGGACCCCCAAAATTCCCCATCCCTGACTTAAAGAAATCCGATAGCAAGAGATGAGAAAGACCTCTCCCTCATAGTGTTTGCACATCTCTGTGCATTCCAGACACGACTCACCATTCCCAGGCTCCTTCTATCTCATCCTGGTGGATAAACCTAGTGAAGATGCAGAAAGATAAAGATTTTTATTGAATGGATTATTTGTTTGAAATAATGAATTATGTCCTTTTGCTTCTATACTTCAGGCTGGAACAATCTGTCGCCTGTAGTGTCCGTTACATGACAGACCAAGTCAGGCCCAAAGCCCATCTTGTTCCCAAATGAAGATCTAGTAGACACATGACTGTTCCATCATGATGCAGAAGACTAATAATTCCCACGGTGAATGTCTGCATTGTCCTAAGGGCATCCTTATTTTGACTGCATCAAAATGTTGTTTTAACAGCAAAGTGCTTTATTTTCCCAGAACTCAAAAAAGTTATTTTCAGACTTCAGTTCTTGGAATCCCCTGATCAGCATGACCACCACTCCTGCTAGTAGGAGGATTTAAGGAACTGTAGTGCCTAAACTCTAGGAAAAAGCTAGTCTAAAAAATAACTTTTCTATTCTCTAAGAAAATATGAGATGGGAAAACTGCTCTCCTGCTCAGACAATGGCTTGTACTCAGTAATTTCCTTGTAATTTCCCTGCCATAGGCCTTAACTTGACTCCTTCACACTTTTTATAGCACTATAATTTCACACTTCACATATTTATAGCACTATAATTGCTCTTTAATTGCCATGGGTGCATCCTATAAAATCCAGGGGTTTGTAGTCTGGGGAGGCATTGGAGCTCTTTGGCTAAGAATTCTGAATACCCCTCCCTAGACGGCAAATCCTTGGATTCCATATGATATTGCCATGGCAGTTAAAATGGAATCATAGTGCTATAATTGAAGACCGTGATAAAGGAAGAATTGCTTCACATTGATCTCTCTGTCTTTTAAAAGATGTCTAATGTCTTTTAAAAGATGTAGAGGATGCAGTGGCTCAAGTGGTTAAGATGCTGACTCTGTTGATTGCAAGATCGGCAGGTTGGCAGTTTGAGGCCCAGGTATTGCACGATGGGGTGAGCTTCCATCACTAGTCCCAGTTTCTGCCAACCTAGCATTTCAAAAGCATGCAAATGCAAGTAGATAAATAGGTACCACTTCAGTGGGAAGGTGAACAGCGTTCTGTGCAATCATGCTGACCACATGATCACAGAGTAGTTTCTGACAACACTGGCTTAGAAACGGAGATGAGTGGTCTTGGATGAAGCCGATTATCTAGACTCATTTCAAACCGGCTTCAGG